AATTATCCAAAACAATGAGCTTCTCCTCTCCACTTTTATTTTATTATGAGGTTCTAACAAAGAATCTGATGTTGCATTTGCCTACTGTTGTGGGTCATTCTTTGCAGTGGACCGTGACTATGTTTATCCAGTGGATAGACCTGGGATTAGTGCCTTCCAGTCACACAGATAGAAGGAGTAGGGAAATGCAGCAAGCGGCAGGCTGAAATGAGACAGAACAGAATGCTTCTAGAACACATTTCTGGATAACCCACTAGGATGCCTTGTCAATGGAAGAACCCTAAGAATATACTCAAGAATTAGCTGCCACCATTTAAAGGTAATTTATCTTAGAAGAACTTCTAGTTTTGTAAGGATGTTCAGAATACCTAAGCGGAAAACAAACCGTGTTTTCAAACCATGCTTCTCTGTCCCTGTGTCTTATCACTAGCCTAATTCTGAACTTCCACCATGCATACCTTCAACACTTACTCAGTGTCTGAATGGGCCCTGGAAAGACAGGATGCCTGAGGCTGGCTGGTCAAGGAAGGTTCCCCAAGTGGCATCTCTTTGAGTGAAGGGTTGACGGTCCGCTGAGTGTGTGGATGTGTGTGTTGGGGAAGGCACTTGGGGGCAGCACAGGATATGCAGGTGCACAGGGATGAGGAGGCCATGTGCCTAGAATGGCACAGTGGTAGTAGGTAGCTGTGTTTTCAGCTGAGATATTTTGAACATCCTTAGAAAACTGGAAATTCTTCTAAGATAAATTACCTTTAAGTGGTGGCAGCTAGTTCTTGAGTGTATTCTTAGGGTTCTTCCATTAAGGAGGCATCCTAGTAGGTCACAGCTGGAGGAAGCATCGTTGCTGGTGCAGTTCAACTGTTTATGCTGGGTCCATGTTGCTTCTGATAGATGATCATTGTAATATCAGCCCCAAGCCACACAGCCTGGGCCAGGTCCTCACTCCTGTATGAATGTAGGGAAGCTGGGAGTGTTTTCTCTGCCTGCATCTGACTGGAATTGTGGGTTTATGTTTGTTCCTGGCTTCTCTTGTAAGTGGCTGCCAGCAGAGTCGATGGCAGGCTGATTCTGGCAGTTGTGTGAGGAGTTGGAAGCTCAGCCAGTGAACACCATGCCCACTTTGTTTTATGTGGCTGCAGCTGTGACTATTACGTGTGTGGATTTTTTTAATTGAGAGAATAGAGAATTTGAAAAATTTATTTCTCTTCTAAAAAGGTAAATGTTGGACTATTTAATGCCCCCTTCTGCTTTTTCTTAGTTAACTGGTCTGTTTATGGAAATAACTGAATTTAAACATTTGGGGGCCATTTCTGATTTTTAAGATTTCAGCTCACTTGGGCCCAGATCTTAACTTTGACCCATTCCCAACCAAATTTAAATCATCTGAATCCATTTTTGTTGGTGTCATATAAAAGTCTGCCATACTTCATGACAGTTTACTATAATCAGATTTGTGACAGAACTTTTAAATTGGGATATTCCAGCAGGTACTTTCTGAAGGCCAGGTGTCTTTATTTATATAGAGACCACCGTGTTCATAATAGTTTACTGAGCATCCATTTGAGAAACTGTGACAGTTTTGTTCAGGTATAAACGTGTGCACCTCTGTTAAACATCTGTGGTGCGTTGCTGCATCCCCCGCAGGCCGCGTCGGCCACATGTATGCTGCTCGTTTCCTCCTCTAAGTGAACATAGCAGTGGCACCTGCTATACGGTGCAGGATTGTCAGGGTTTCAGTAAGTGTATGTGATTCTATATAATACTGTATCCATTAAGTAGTTCTTATTTTCTAGTTGGTTTGCTAAGTGCTTTACCTGGGCACCTCGTTTAATCTTCCCCCAAACCCAGGTTAGTAGGTGCTGCTGTTCCCCATGTCTCACAGTGGAGGAAACGTAACATGCTGACAGAGTTACTTGCTGAGGGTTAAAGAGCTCATAAATGGCACCAGGATTGATGCTGGCTGGTCTGCGCCCCGACTACACCTCTCTGTATGTCAAACCCAGTGTACTCATAGCATGGAATCCCCCTTTACCTCTGCTGGCCAGGACAGGAGAGCACCTTTGAGTCTGTTGGCAGCATCTAGGCTGGGGAAGTCATGTTTCTGTGTGTGTGCAGGTGAACTCCCCTCTCCTCTATCTCCCTCGTGTCCTGTGTCCTCTCGTTCCTCTTGTTGACCCTCATCTTCCTGCTGCGCTGCTTCACTGGGGCTCCGTCTGATGGTCAGGTCGTTTGGCTGCAAGCCACATGAGGAAGTATTGCTTATGTAACAGGAGAATTTCTTAGCCGGAGCCACACATGCATGTGGTTTTACAACCCTAGTGTTTTCTGTCTTTATTATGTATATATGATTCTACTGGGGCAATTTGTCTTCACAATGATACATATACTCGCAGGCAATAATGATTTTTCCCTACCACCTTTAGTCATCTGTTAGCCAAACTGAATAAATGTTTGGCCCTTTTCATCTTTCTTTATGAAGCGGAAGGCATTGGAATGCAATCATTTCTGTAGTGGCTTATGTGGTTTCCTACATGCTGAGCTCTGTGGTGACACGGTGCCTGTATATTTTAGGAGGCAAGGAGGAGGAGAAAGCTGAAATGACATCGATGGATGCAGTTTGAGGCAGTGGGAAGTTTAACAGCTTTAAAGATTTACTGGCTAAGTTTAAGGAAATAACCATTGTCTATCAATGAAGTTTAATATGTGATACTCTGTGTTGTATTTTAAAGCCAATTTCTTCTTTTTCTTTCTTTTCTTGTAAAATTACCTTTGGGAAATTGCAAAGATGAAGTTTTTTTTAAATGGCCATGATAGCTTTTGTGATTCTTCCAAGTTTCATGTTATCTACAAATTTGCTGAATACACATATCCTTTGTTATACAGATGTTTGGTTCTGAGTTCAGAGTGTAAGAGTTTAGATACTGAAGAATATTTTATCTGAAACTCCTTGATTGCTAAATTTCAGAACGAGTTAATCTGTATCACGAAAAATGTGTGTATCTTTTTAGTTTCTAAGTTCTGGTAGTAAGGGATACCTATATACCAGGAATTCTCAGCTTCAACACTATTAACATCTGAGACTAGAAAACTTTTTGCTGGGAGGAGGGGGCCGTTCTGTTTGTTGTAGGATATTTGTCGGCATCCCTGGACTCCACCTATAAGATGCCAGTAGTAGTAATGTGACAACCAAGAACGTCTCCAGGCATTGTCAGGTTACTGTGGGGTGGGGTGTGGGAGCAAAACTGCCACTGCTGTGTTTCACAAAATTTGTAAAACTCAGAAGACTGCTCTGGCCACCTAGAGATAACTTCATTTTCTCCATTGTGTGGAGATAATTTTTAAGGGAGAAAAATACTAATAAAAGAGAAGAAGAGATTGCCTTTAGAAGTAAAGCACAAAAAGGACATTAAATTTTTATAAATAAAGTATCACATATTAAACCTTAGGGTTACATGATAGATATGTCCTCAGACGTGGCCATGTACTGACTCCTACATTTGCTGTTCTTTGGAAATTACCAGCGGTGCTTCATTGATTGTGTTTATGGGTTCTCTTACTACCCTGCAGTGCACTTTCACATCACCAACTAGTGCTTTCTTATTGATCACAAGTAAACTTTAGCTAGCTCTTTCTTTCGTTTGAAGAGCAGAAATTTTTAACAAGGCAAAAAATTATCAGAGGCTATGCGTTAAGGTCCACCAGCAGCTACTTGGAATGTGCTGCCTGTTACTCTTGCACTGGCTTCTGCTGGTTTTGTAATGGATATTGGAAAATATACCACACCTCTAACCAGGCAGAGTATATCGTATTATTCTTTCATTTTCTCTCTTGCTTTCCCTGAGACATTTTCCATTATTCTTGCATAGTCAATGGCAGATAAATGCCTTTTTCTGTATGTTGCTGCTCTTATTCCCTTCCTATGGGCTTTTAGTTTCAAGGCATTTATCTGTATTATTGTTTTATTTCTACCATTTTGTGCAGTTCAGAGTCTCAGTTACATGCATGCTGAGAACAGTTGTCCTTTTATTTTCAGAGTGAATAGAATTTGAGGCTATTGACTAGTGATTTTTTTTAAAACTTAAGACCTCAGGGTCCATTATAGTCCTATGCATGTGCTATGGTTAAATGGCTGCATTTTCCCCATAACCTTGGTATGTTGCTAAGACTTTAAGATCTTTATACAGTTGACATTTCTTTTGTTAAACATACTTAATGACATCCTTCTGAAATATACAGTGTTCATCTGATTTTATATCTGAAAAGCATCATATTATTACATTTGTAACTTAGACTTTATTCTGTGAACACATTTTTCTGAGTGATTTAACTATTAGTATTTGTATATTGTTGCAGTCTCCCCCCATAGAGTAATGAGTGACATGAGTCAAATACAGCGGTTTTGACCAAAAATTTGCTTTGTGTCCAAGATACACAGTTTTATTCTGTGACTATCATACCTTTGGCACAGAAATAGTAATTATAAGTAAATTCTTTTTTTTTTGTTGTATTATATTGTTTTGGAGATACATTAATATGTTGAAATTTTTGCTGAATCTTTAGTAGAACTAAGTTCATATATCTTAGGAACGAGCAGAGAAATTTCTGCCTTGGGGCATGCCAGAAGGAAAGCAAGCAGTTTTGATAATGAAATGAGACCTTACAGAAATATTGCTAGAGCAGCTATAATAATTCAAATAAGACATGAATTGGGAAGGCAGGAAAAGAGAATTGTTTTTCTTTTTTGAGTAACTTTGTTTTGGATAGTAATGGTAGCAGAAACCTGAAAGAATATTCTTTTCTTTTTACCTTTTTTTTTTTTATTAAATCATAGCTGTATACATTAATGGAATTATAGGGTACAATGTACTGGTTTTATATACAATTTGAAATACTTTCATCTTCTAATTTACCTGATTTTTCTTGGGTATGATCTAGGGCTATCTATTTTAATCTGTCTTATAACCAAAGTAATGGAAATATAATTTTTATTTTCATTATAGGCGGTGGAATAAATTGAGACTGCGAGACAAGGAGAAGCATCTGAAATTGGGAGAGGATTCTGAGGAAAGTGATGCTGAATTTGATGAAGGTTTTAAAGTGCCAGGTTTCCTGTTCAAAAAGCTTTTTAAGTATGTGTCATATGATCTGATCTTTATATTTGTCATCAAGCCATTATGTGCAAATTAATATTTTAGGAATTACGCAGTAGTTACCTGTAGGCCCTTAAGGTACTTGGAGCAATTTATTGCAAAAATAGACACTGTCAAATGAAATTGTAGCCACATGCTGTTCATTAAAATTAGATGATAATAAATTGACTGAAGAGCACATCGGGTATGTTTGTGTACTGATGAATCTATATGGACCTATCTCGGCCTACTAAAAGCATCACATTTAAAAGCCATCTATGTGGAATTGGTGTTTTGTTATTAGTCATTTTAAGGTGCCAAACTTATATCAGATTAATATATTAATATTGGTATTGGGGAGAGTTTTTGTTTTTACTCCTGTGTGGAAGTAAAAAACTCAATTATTTTCTGATAGTCTTACATTGTACCTGAGGGTGTAATACTTTTGAGCTGACCAAATGTATGTTGAATTTTTTATTTTTTTTTGAGACAGAGTCTCACTATGTCACCCCTTGTTAGAGTACCATGGTGACACAGCTCATAGCAACCTCAAACTCTTGGGCTTAAGCGATTCTCTTGCCTCAGCCTCCCAAGTAGCTGAGACTACAGGCACTGCCTGCCACAACACCTGGTTATTTGTTGTTGTTGTTGCTGCAGTTGGCATTATTGCTTTAGCTGCCTCAGGCTGGGTTCAAACCCACCAGCCTTGGTGTTTGTATGGCATCCTACCCACTGAGCTACAGGCGCTGCTGAGCGTCTAAATATTTTATGTAGATATAGTTCTAATGTCAAAAGAGAAGATACAGGCAACACCTTGAGGATTAAGTTGCTGTTTGAAGTTGCCCAAGTTTCATATGTAAAGCAGGCAAATGTTGCAGATGCCTGATGCTGCCTGATAGACGCTCCCTTGTGCTCTGTAAGGGCTGGCAGTCTCCGGTGATGAATGTGAATACTGAGGCACATTTCAGTCTCATCACTCCTGGGATTTACTTAACAAGATGCTTTAGGAAGGCTTCTTAGATGCATGTAGGAAGTTAAACCATTAAATACCTTCTTTCTGACTCGTTTGTATCATCAATTTGTAGTTGGGAGCAGGATGCAAACTTCATTCTTTGAAATGATTAAGTTTAATCTCCTTTATAGATTGAGCTGTCAGCCATGTCCTAAACTTGTGGCAGAAGTCTACTTAAAAACTGTGCACTCTTTATATTTCCTCTCAAAGAGCTTACAGTGTAGTTTTAATTTTTCTCTCTGTGGAGAAGATGGGGACTGAAGAGTAGTTATTTTAACCCACTAAACACATGAGAAGCCACATCCTAAAGCTGTGAAGTGACTTGGTTGGATTGCCATCGCCGGACAGAGGAAGAGCTAACTATAGAGAAAGTAAAGTACGAATCTCGAGGCTCGGTGCCTGTGGCTCTAGTGGCTAAGGCTCCAGCCACATACACCTAAGGTGACGGGTTCAAATCCAGCCTGGGCCCGCCAAACAACAATGACGGCTGCAACCAAAAAATAGCCAGGCGTTGTGCCTGTGGTCCCAGCTACTTGGGAGGCAGAGGCAGGAGACTGGCTTGAGCCCAGGAGTTGGAGGTTGCTGTGAGCTGTGATGCCACAGTACTCTACTCAGGGGAATAGCTTGAGGCTCTGTCTCAAAAAAAAAAAAAAAAGTATGAATCTCTAGCAATTTTTGCAGAAAAAATAGCTCGGAGAGTTGGTTACTTTGTTACTTTTCCCAAATGAAAATTAACTATGGCAAGGTAAATAAAGACAACATTTATTGGCAGGTCTTTTCATTTTCTCTAAGGTAATTGCTTATTAAGGAACAGGCCATATAGTATCAGTGTTGAACTAGCAAAAGTGATAGCCAAATTATAGTTTAAGTTGATCTCACAAAGACAGGATATTTCTGCATATACAATAAGTGATTTGGCAAATATCAAGAGTTGAGTGTGCATTTATATATAAATGTCAGATATTCTAGCAAAGAAATTTTGTAGTTCATAGAGCCAAACATTGCTGTCTAAGAGTGTATAGGATTCAGTGTATTGACAATTAACTCTATAGTAGTTAATATAAATACTTTTTTTTTTTTTTGCAGTTTTTGGCTGGGGCTGGGTTTGAACCCGCCACCTCCGGTATGTGGGGCTGGCACCCTACTCCTTTGAGCCACAGGTGCTGCCCAGTATAAATACATTTTTAAAAATTAATCTTTTTTTTTTTGAGTCAGAGTGTCACTCTCTTGCCCTGGGTAGAATGTCATGGTGTCATAGCTCACAGCAACCTCAAAGTCTTGGGCTTGAGCAGTCTTCTTGCATCAGTCTCCATAGTAGTTGGGAATACAGGTGTGTGCCACTGCGCCTGGCTAGATTTTCTATTTTTAGTAGAGATGAGGTCACGCTCTTGCTCAGGCTAAAAATTAATCCTAATTGCACATTCCTGGGAAGTGTTTTGTTTTCATCTCTACAAAAACAGGATTTTTAAATACAATAGAACCTCTGTTAGTTGACCACCCAAGGGACTATAACAAACTGGTCAACATACGGAGGTGGTCAACATAAGAAGCTAGGCCTACTGGACTGATGTGTACATGTGGTGAATGTCCAGTCTCTGAAAATTAGATAAACTGAAGGAGGTGGTCGATTTAGGGAGGTTGGTCAACTATGGAGGTTCTGTGGTATTTTATAAATGTCACAAAACTTAGGTTCCTTTTCTTCTGATGTATGAAAAAAATTAATAGGATTGATACAGTCTCTGTTTTTCTTTTATGATCAAGTTTTAGCTAGCCAATTTAATTTTAAACTGTAGATATAGTTTTTTTTTACTGTATTTACTGCACTCTGTAGAATTGAATTAACAAGGTATATGGTTGTACACAAGAGAGTTAGAAGGTACAATTAGCCATCTAAGTGCTATTTTCTGCAAGATAATGTTTAACTTTTAAATTTGTTTTGAAAGTTTGCCCAGCAAATGCATTCATTTGTATAATTTAGCAGTCAAATGACAAACTTCATTCCTTTGACTTTACTTTCAGCCACTCTAGTAAATGTGGTCTTGGGTTAGTGTAGCAATGCCAAGATACACTAATTATCTGTGGTCACAGTGTGGTGCTTCAGTCTCCTGGGGATAATAGGATATAGTAATTTCCTTATTGTTGTATAATAGTTTGTACAAGTCTTTAACTTTTCTAGGGAGAAATTTTTACATGCTTTTCAGTTTTTGAAAAGTAGATTCTGTAACATGTTTTCATTTAAACTATGTAATTGTTTTATAGTGTTTATTATTAGGAAGGTCAAAGTCAGTGGGTGGCACTGCTGGAACTAGAGCCGTTCCTTCTCCATCAAAACCTAGCTGTCGACAGTGTGGCTGGTGCTTTTGAGTGTGCCAGCGAATTTCCTTGATCGCGGTCTGAGGGCCTTCATGTGTTGTGGGTGGAGAGAAAGAGTCACTCTTGCCTTTTTTATATACTATCCCTAGTTGTTGGGGATTTCCGTGTAGACATGTGACTTACAGGGCTGCTTAAGTAGATATGTTTCCTTAAGTCATTTTTAGTGCTAATCATCTGCTTGTAAACACACAAACTTGTGCTGGTGGAAGCTCGTAGAGATGAGATTTGTAGACGAGGAGACACACAACATGCTGTTACTGACTCTCCTGGGTCACACAGAATCCAGATGTCCTAATTCCCTCCCAAACTCTCAGGATACCATACTGATTGCCATTTCTTTCATAATTTCTCGATTGCTCCTTTCCAGTTTCTTCTTACTTTAATTAAGTGTCTGGGCTTCAAACAAAGAAAGTTGGTGGCCCCATGTTGAAAGAGAGCAGTGAGACACAGTGGTAACACCAACATGGTCACAGAGTTTTGGTCCCTGCCTGGAGGAAGTGGTCCCATAGTCATTCTGAACCCCAGTAATTGACCAGAATTTAGTAATGCTAGATACTGATTGCACATCAGTGGTTTTTTGAGAGCTTTTAGGAATGTGTCTTTTTTTTTGCAGTTTTTGGCCAGGGCTGGGTTTGAACCCGCCACCTCCAGTATATGGGGCTGGCACCCTACTCCTTTCAGCCACAGACGCCACCCATAATGTGTCTTTTTTTTTAAAAGCTGAGATTGTATGGTATGTAGTAATGGCAGTAACCAAGGTCAGACTTTTAAAATTGTTTTGCAGAAGACTGGGGAAAAAGTTAATTATGATGTATTTATTGATAGGAAATTAAAACCAGTTCAGCAAGAACTAAAGTTTAAAATGAGATTTTAGATAGACATACCAGGGACCAAATAGTAAGTATTTGGGCAGCAAAACAATAAAACCACCTTTTAAAGTTGAGTTAAAGGTGAATTACCAAGGTAACTCAGCCTTGGTATTTTCTTTGGAAAAAAAATCTTCAGCTTTTGTTGGTGGTTTTTGCTTTAGACTTTTTGATTTGTCATACAATCTTCATACCATTGCATGGTGGTTAAGTTTTTCTTTCACTTTCAGAAATGTTTTTTGCATTATTCCTTTTTTAACTTCATTTTTAGGTTATAAATTAAATATGCTATTGATGAAAAGGAAAATACCATTTCCTATTTTTTGTAGGGAGAAGGAAATGTTATTTCTTTATTTAAAATTTTAGTAGCTCTGATCTTTTTTTACCTGTGATAAAAATCCTCTAATCAATTTCTGTTTTAAAATATTGAGGAAACATTTTGTATTGCTGCGTTTTTAAACTATTCCATTTGGCATCTCCTAGTAATATGACAGAATCATCCATTATATACAAACTTTGAGAGCAGCCCTATTATTTAGACTGTTTATGGCTTTAAAATGTAATTTAATTTTTCCTATAAAAAGATAATATGATTACCAAGTGACTTTTAAACAGTATAAGCTGTAAATTGTGGTGTTTTTCTTTCTGCTTTTTTAATGCAATTGAGATAAAAAAATAAGTGCTAATGCCTCTTTTCTGTAGGAAAATTAATGGAACTTTATATACTAAAAATATTTGGGATTTTTTTTTCCCAGAAAGAGAGTGAATAAATGATATAAAGTTTATGCTTGTTTACCAAGCTATTTCTAATGTTGAAAAAGAAATGAGATAGTCCCTAATTACCCCATCTATCAGGTTAATTAGAAATGTGTTAACATTCTGTAAAGAAAAATTTGTGATTCTATGCCTAGGTGATCAAAAATGTATGACCTTATAAATATAATACTCATGTAAAACACACATCCGGCATGTTTCTCTGACTGGTACTAGAACCTAGCCAAATGATTAATTCATGAGTACTTTCTGTTACGATCTGTATTATCCACCATTTGCCATTTTCTCTTTTCTTGTTGGTGTTTGTTGTCGTAGGTACCAGCAGACAGGTGTTAGGTGGCTGTGGGAATTGCACTGCCAGCAGGCAGGAGGAATTCTGGGAGACGAAATGGGATTGGGCAAGACCATCCAGATAATTGCCTTCTTGGCAGGTCTGAGCTACAGCAAGATCAGGACTCGTGGTTCAAATTACAGGCAAGTGCTCCTCTGCAGACTGTCAGTCTGTGGAGCTCAATTAATATTTCATCAGATGTATTGCTGTGGAGGAGGGTCTTGTGAATTATTGATGACATTTCAATTACAATATTCCTTTAATTCTTTTAGTGGGGGACATCAAAGGAAAAATTTTACGAGACAATGGAGCTGTAGGGCAGGAGAAATTAAACATGTAACACTTTTAATGAATTCCAGGCATTGATGCTTCATTTTGCAGATGAGCCCCACTAGATATTTTGGGTCAATACGATGTCTAAGGTTAGCTTCTGCAAATGGATTGTTTACAAACTCAATTATGTTAATATCAATAGTTTACACAATATAGAATTTTAAATTAGACATAATACCTTTAGTTCCATTTATTAAATTTTACATTAAAATATTTGTTCTGGCTGGAGACCAGGTAAGCATTACAGTAAATACAAAGTCTATTCATGGGGAAAGTTGGAGCTTTGAAGAAGCCATTCTCCCTAATTTCCTTTATAATCATTGTGCGTGATAGCATTTACAGACGGCTCTCGTCTTTTTTTTTTTTCTGAGTGAAGTTACTTGTCTGCTTACTGTGCTTTCTGCCCCCTTCCAATCTACAAATTTTATATATATCCTAAGGCCAAAATCTAAATAACTGTCTAAAATGATAGAAAACTGTTATATTTAGATTTTAATCTTTGTTCTCTTTAGAAATTTAAACTTACTAAGGCTTTAGTAGTCTCAAAAATAAGGATTAATCTGTTTGGTGTGGTAAGATAGAAATAGTTATCTTGAAAGAAATAACCAGAAGCATATTCATATTTAAGGTACAAATTGATAAAAATATTGCTAAGTAAATTATGTGGGATGTTTTTAATTTTGAACCCCGATAATCCAAGAATTCCTTGTTCTTGGTTTATCTGATGAATAAGAAGAATGTATTTACCAAATGGTTATATCCTAGAAACCTCAGACACACCGTATGATTCAGAGATACCTTTAAAATGGTGTTAATGTAAAGAAAAATAAATAATAAATAATAAAATAAAATAGGGTCGATGGGTCTGAAGTCAGCATCTGCAGAAAGTTTCTATCCTATGTTCCAGTTGGTTGGCCAAGAAACAGAGAGAGCCAAATACAAATGGTAAATTATTGAGTCAAGAGCTTTTTTTTAGTCTTCAGAGTGTATTGCTTTGTTTTTCTTTCTTTCTTTTTCATAAATTTAACAGAGCAACACTTCTCTGTGTTGGAAGTTTTAGAAAATTTTTTTTTTTTTGGTAGAGACAGAGTCTCACTTTATCGCCCTCAGTAGAGTGCTGTGGCATCATATAGCTCACAGCAACTTTCAACTCCTGGCTTAGGTGATTCTCTTGCCTCAGCCTCCCGAGTAGCTGGG